TTTGTTGAAGTTGGTGAGGGTTTAGCAATGGGAAGAGAAGAAAGACCTTCTAGGACTGTGGGGATAGCAGGGCATGGTCAGGTCAGGCAAGTCCACATGTGGACAGCAGTTTCTTATACATAGCTGGAAGAGCAGAGGCCTTGGTAATTGACATGTGGCTCCAGGACAGGGCAGGTGAGGAGGGGAAGTGCTGGCTTAAGACAAGGAAGCCCCATGTTGCACTGATTCCAATGCCCAGCTGAACAATTGCTCAGTAGATAGGTTTCTAGATTTACCAAGGACATTCATTAACATTCAGATATCTGGGCTCCTACTGCATAGATTCTGATTCAGTAGATTCGGAGTTTAGCCTAGGAGCTCTCCACATCTGGGCACTATTTAAACAAAAAATGCTGGCTAAATAAAATTACATTACAAGGCCATCACAGTAAATAGTAATAATAGTGGGAATCCCAGTATCTACTTATTTTATTAAACACAGACTGCGTGCCAAGCATTCTTGCAAACACATTATTGTTATTCATTTCATCTATATATCAACACCACTATCCCCAGCTTATGGAAGAGGAAATTTAGGCAAAGAGACATTAGGGTTCTTGCCCTAGATAAACTGGCCACATCAGGTGGGACCCAAATAAATAGTAACTGAAAAACCTGGGCTTTGAGCCATGAGCTCTGTGCTATTTGATGCTGCTTTGCTCCACAAGGCTGGTGTCCTAAAGTAAGGCGTACGCCCTATGTTTGCTGAACCACCAGAATTCCCAGTGTCCCACCCATCACAGTGGAGAGAGATGAGGAAAGCCAGGCTTAAGGGAGTCCAGCAGTGTGTCCAGGCACACAGGTAGAAGGCGGTGGAGACACCCTGTACCCTTTCCTTTGCCCTTATTTGTCTTTACCTTATTTGTCTATTTACCAAGAGGTCACATATTATTACTCCCTTTCTGATGCGAATCTGAACCCTCATCTCATTAGGACATTAGATTTTGCAGGCCTGACTGACAGCAAACAATCTGAAGATTAAACCATGAGATTCTAGAGAGTAAACCAAACCCTACGTATCTGAATCATACAAATCTCCGCATTGCTCAGCTGCAGTTTTGTAGTGGTTGCCTCGCCTTCTGTCCCAGGGTTAGATTTCTCCCCTGCAAATGCATTCAGATGCATTCAGCAAGTATCCCGGGTTTACCCTTGGGTTTCCTTCCCCTTCTCTTTAACCTGAATGCTCTCTTCTGCTGGCCACACCCTCTGCATGACAATAAATTTTAAGTATGGGGTAATTTTCTTGAGGATTCATAATGATTATTCGTTTATCTTTAGAGCTGTTGTGGGGTAAGAGGAGAAACACTGAGCTTGGAAACTGAAGTCCAGTGTCAGGAGTCTGTGAGGTGGAAAAGCTACTTTTCAATATGTCAGGGGCAAAATAGGTGTGTCACCAGGAAGGCTGAATAAAAGGTTGAGTTGTTTACATTCTTTGCAAGAAGCATAGCACCATCCAGCCATCAGCTATATTTCCTGCAGTCAAATGATAGTCTACAAGGCCAAGCCAGTTTATCAAAATATAAAGCACCCTGGTTCTGTATAGGGTATTTGCCTGCTTAACGAATCATCTTGTACCTGCCCAGAAATGGTCTCTAAGTCTAACTATAAGGACCTCACCAAGACACATGCTGTGTGAGTCAAAGACCAAACCAAACAGTGGGGTTGACCAGGAGACTCCCAAGTACTGTTCTTCAGAGTTCACCTGTCCTTGAGTGTTTAGGGGAGCCTGAGGAGCGCCCCAGAATGGTGTACTGTGAGGTAATCATGTTACTAGGAAAAGCTCATCCCTGGCCCTTGATCATAAAGACACAGGACAGATTTCATTCCAGTGGCATGTGGGATGCAAGGCCAGAGCACAAACTGTGATGATGACTGGAGCTCTAGCTCACTAAACATCAGCACAGCAGCAATTGGAAAACACCTGTGCCCAGTGTGGATGACGCTTTGAATGTTTATTAGGCTAGTTTGGAGCTGTTGTTCACTTCCTAAGAGTTAAGTTTTCTCATGAAATTGTCTGCAATTGCATGTAAGATTTCAGAATATGAATATTAATGAAATGAAATGATACACCTTCCACTAAAACTTTATTTGTAAATTTTATTTTCTGCTTACAGGAACATTCATGTTTGTGCTTAGGTCTTTGCTGCATTTAAAGTGCCTTTTTAAAAATCTCATTTGGAGTCACTATTCCATTAATGTTTTGTAGTATTTGGCTTTGTTCCTTTGTGTCATGGTTGTTTGCCTCCCACCTCAAGGGAGGGGTGGGAAGAGGGAAAGAGGAAAGTGGAATTGGGGGTGTTGAGAAGGCAATCAATGTATCCTTAGCCAGGCAATAGAATAGGATGAAATACACAAAGTCTTACAAGATAAATTCTTAGTACATCAAAAGCAAATCTTGTGGAAAAAAATCCTTCCTCTCCGTATAGTTGCCCAACACCAATAATCCATTCTTTATTTTGATCATTTTCTATATGTATGTCTGCTTGAGTCTGAACATGATTGGATTCTACAATTCATGCTGACATTTAAACCCCAACATCTTATGTTAACAGTTTTATCAGAATGGGAACTTGATGACATTGTTTGGAGACTGGGCCTTTGAAAAGTGATTGAATTAGTGATGGTGCAGGCCCAAGATCAAATTACAGTGGTTTATATCAAAAGAAGCTACGTGACCAATTTGTGTCCAGGTTTTCCATTTCATCCTTCTGCGGTGTGTATTCCTCTGTGTTCCACCCCAATCAGACACTATTCCAAATGTAGCCAAGCAATCATGGGCTGTGGGCCTCCAAACCTGTGACCCAAAATAGACTTTCTTCCTTCCCGAAGAGCTTCTCCTAAGTATTGCTTATAGTGACTAAACACTGATACAAGAACCCAGCATTGTTCCAGAGCAGATTGTAGGTGGCTTGAAAGAGTTCTTTTACTTAGTTTGTTTTGGTAATGGATGAAACATCCGGAATTTCCAAATCTTTGGTCAAATGATGAACGTTCCTTAGGCGTTGGGTGGCTTACAGACTCATACACTCAACCAGTTCTAATGACCTATTCATGGGCTCCTTAGCAAAATACAACTGGCAACTGGGCTGGAGGTATTTGAGAGTTCAGGTGTGACATTCCATCAGCCAGAGGAAAACTCTATCACTTGTCGGGTCTTTTCACCAGTACTCTTCACAAGGTCATGCTGTGTCACATATTCCTGCAAGGTCAAGATGGAGCCAAATTTTAACAGAATCCTGTGTTCCCTTAGAGCTCTCTGCAGGAAGTCATGGCTGCACATTCTCAGCATGCTTCTGAAGCAGGGGAGAAAGGCTTGCTCCATCTATGACCCTCAGGAGAGCCCACTGGAACCCCAAGTACAGAGCTGAGAGCGAGTTCTTTAAAGGTAATCATACTACATGGGCCTACAGAGCAAAGAAAATCTCCCAGGCACACTTGGAAATCAAAACCAAAAACCACAGTTGCCAAGTCTTTAACTAAATAGTTTTGGAGACAGAGCTAATTTGTTTAGGTTGAATAACTTCTGCTTCTAAGCAAGGTGAAGGTACAAGACTACTGTAGTAAAAAAAAAAAAAGACTAATGCAGCAACGGGAGGAGGCAGACATAGAAAGGAGTAGCAGTTTCTCCTCTGCTATAGATGCATGGGTGGTGCAGTGGTAGAATTTTCTCCTCTTCCATGCGACATCTGCACTAGGCACAGTCCACTGGCTCATCAGAATGTGAAGGGTCCTAAAGTGATAGAAACAAAATTAATAAGTGTAAATTGGTGAGGGTAAGGTTCTCCATGTCACTTCTGTTACCCTTCTGAACTCTGCAGATACACTGCAGTGCTTTGTTTTATTTTCTTTTATTGCAAAACCTGCCCAGATGTGGGGTGGGGAGGGGAGGCCATTCACAGTGGAGGGCACTCTACTGGGGCCCTTCACCTGAGCCCCTCCCTGCTCTGAGTTTTGTGAGAACAGGGACTTGTCTGTGTCTTTCAGGGCTGGTTCTTCAATAACAGCACAACATCCTGCACCTGCTAAGTGGCCACTGGATCTGTTGTATAGCTGAGTGAATGAGCTTCACTCTCCAAAAGAAGCTTGGGAAAACTTTACTGTGTCTCCTCTGGAATCAGGCATGATTTCAATAGGAAAACTCTAAGGAACCAGTGATGAAAATCATGTGTGGCCTGAGTTTCTAGGAGCTCAGCTAAATAGCCTGATACAGCCCAGGCAGGCTAGCTGGTAAGATTGGCAGTGAGTCAGGAAAAGGACAAACCACAAGGTGTCACCAGGGGAACCTTCATGAGTTCACAAAACACTCCAAGCTGGACAGTAGATAGGACTGTCAATGTTATCTCCTGTACGTTCCCTCTCAATAAAAGGACCCCTTGTCTATAGGATTACTCACTAGAAAGAAAGAAAGAAAGAAAGAAAGAAAGAAAGAAAGAAAGAAAGAAAGAAAGAAAGAAAGAAAGAAAGAAAGAAAGAAAGAAAGAAAGAAAGAGAAAAAAAGAGGATGCAGCAGGTCCTCAGAATAGTTCTAAGTTGCAAATAAGTGAAAGATAAATGAAACTTGTCTATCACTCCATTTTATTCCCAAGTCTTTTCTTTAGTAATAAAATCAGAAGGTAGTCATTCAACATACTTTGAATTCAGGTACTTTGAAGATATTAAGGGTCTTCAAATCATTCATGGAAATACATGACATGAAAAACATTGTGTACTGATTTCAAAATGCATTGCACACCCCAAAAACATTTACCTTTTCATTCCATTTTCTACAAACCCTTTGAAGTATCCTAGTTTAAATATGACCAAAGCCTAAATACTGGCCTTCAGAACCAGCACATCATCTACCTTTACAAAATTCTTTATATTTTACTGAGCACATTTATTTTATGTTATTAAAGGGACATGCTACAAGTTACCAACAAAACCTGCTACGGGGTATGGCATAGTAAGCAAACTTCTTTAAAAAAAATATGGAACACTTCGTGAATTTGCATGTTATCCTTGTGCAGGGGCCATGCTATTCTTCTCTGTGTCGTTCCAATTTTAGTACAGGTGCTACCGAAGCGAGCACGTAAGCAAACTTCTTTAGGGTATAGATAAAGGATGGTCTGCTCTTGTCCTGGAAATCAGCCACCCATCCCGCCTTAAAGAGCAGTAAATATTAATCATGGTCTATCCCCAAGTTCCTGCTCTTTTTCTTAATCCTTCAGATCAATAATATAATCACTGCTCTAGTCTGAAGGTTTTGAATTTTCTATTATGCTTGGTGATTGCCAGTCCATTTTTACAGTTTATTTTTAACTTAATGATTTTTGTAGAGATTTTCTGCTTCATTAGAGGTTTTTGGTTTTATGATAGATTGAAAGAAGCAAATACAGATTTACTTGAGTTTCTTTGCTGGCTTATAAATCTTCACTGGATGATGTTTGCCCAAGGTAAGCTCTCAAGCGTGTGTGTGTGTCTGCCAGCGATCAGTGTTCCCACAAGGGACAGAATTTTATTTTGCAGAATAACAACTTGGGAGTTTGAGGAAATTAATGCAGTTCCAGGAATGAGTATAGAGATAGACTTAATCAGGGGGATTTAAGGTTTAGCAGCCAAACACGGTCTGGTTTGCCAGCTCTGTGACCTTGGCCAGGCCATTTGCCTCTGCTAAACTCTGAATTTCTCGGATGTTAAATCAGAGAATTATGCCTGCCTACTAGGGGTGTATTAGGAAACACAGGAGGAGACTATGCAAGCTCTGGGTGTTTCACCAGCCGGTCTCTCACCACAGGAAACAGTGTGGCGTGTGGGACAGAGGGGCAGAGGCACAGAGATGTGCATCAGGACCTAATGTCTGCACATGGCTTGTTCACCTGTGATGAACAAGGCTCTGAAATTCTGTGAAGACTGAGATAAGGGGATTAGAGGGTTATGTCTGTCCCAGAGAACTAGAAGGAAACTTAAAGACCAAGGAGCCCATTTGTTCAGCGCCTGAAGAAACACTAGAAGCCAAGATCTCATCGAATTCAGTGCTACTTATACTCCATGACAGCCCCCCTTATGCCTGTACCCTGTTCTTCCCCAGCCAGCAAGTAGATGAGGAAGTAGAATTGCCATCTCCCTCTGCATTTCTCACTGGTATTTTAAGCTTGCCGTGTGGCCTGTCAGCTCATAACTCTTTAACACACTTGAGAAAGACCAGGATGTAAGGTCCATCCCAACAGCCATAAGGTGTTTTACACAGCATGCTTGGCCCAGGTAGGTATGAAAGTCAGTTTGGGGTGGACCTTACCTTTGCCTACTGCTAGGTGGCTCACTTCTAATTCAACAAGACCTTTTAACAGGATGTGGGAAAATGGGGGGAGTGGGGGACAGATTTCACTGGGAAAATCTCTGGGAGTGCATTGATAGAGTGATTCACTGTGGAGAGGTTATTTTGACCTAGAAATGGACTGGGAAAAACTATGACCACCCTTGAGATATTCGGAAATGGTAGAAGGTTCTTGGGTGTTCAAAAGACTGGGGCAAAATGAAAAGCAGAAAAAAAAAACAAGATCTGGGTGGGTCCCAGTTCCCTCTCATGCTCCATACTAGGATGCCTTTACACCCAGCAGGAAGGCAGCCCACCACATACGGCAACACACAGTGTGTCTCCTTCACTACTGAGAGGAGGGTCAGCAAGGGACAGACCCAATTCAAGCAAAAGTGAGCAAACCCCAACCGCTCCTACCCTCAACATGCAGCACTGAGACTCTCTCCAGTCCCCTGTCCTGTTTGTTTTTACTTTCTCCCTGACTGTCCCCCATGCTTCCCCTGTCGCTCATCACCTCCTAAATCCATCCTTACCGAAACAAAGCATCTGTCCTGACTCTCTAGCTCAGTGGGGAAGTGCAGCTCTCCCTGTCTGCCCTCTCTGTATTTTACTGGTAGTTGGTACTGGGCTATATTCCGGGTCACCTTGATATTCGGAGAAGGGACACTGTACTTGTCTTCAGCAGTCTTCTCTCTGACTTCCTCACCTCCTGTCAAGACTTGTTCACTCTCCTAAATCATCCCTTGTAGCCCCTGCAGACTTCTCCTGTCTTTTGGTCACCCTTGATCATCTTGTTTGCACAGTCACATCACCTCCCTTTCATCTCCTACCCTCTCAAAAATGCTCCCTCTTTTTGTCCTCTGTGTCTCACCTTGGGAGGACCTTCTTTTAGCCCCATAATCAGAACCATAGCTGGCTCTTTAGGTACTGTGTGCCTACCTAAAAAGTCACCCTCTCTGTGCAGTGAAACAAAGAGAAACAAAGAGAAACAAAGACTGAATTTCAACTGAATTTCAACTCCTCCTTGTCCCCAGAAAGAGCAGCTAATCTACAGAATTGCACACAGCAGCACTGCCCCAGACATAAACTTGTTTCAAACAAGACAGGGACAGTAGAGAGTGTACCCCTTCAGAAGCTGAGATATTTTACCCGTGGTACTGCAGTGAGGAGTGAACACAAAACCGAAACCAGTGTCTGTTGACTTTCATTCAAGTCTGTGGCTCCTGGCGGTGTTCTGCGGTGATAATTATCCCCTGCATACACCATTAGCACACTAAAGTCATATTTAAATTTAACGCACTTAGCAGCATCAGTTCAGCGGTGGCATTTCCAATATTCCTACTTGCAGGCGACATTTTCCGTGTCCCTGAGATGTCTGTCTCTGCCCCATGGCATAGTCATGATGAGGTGGAGGCTTTGTGTTTGATGAAAAGAGAGGAAATGTTGAAAGAAAAGGGGAAGTGCAGAGCAATAGATGTTCATTTCTTTTTGGGACTAATTTGGATATAAAATAGCCTTCCATTTACTTTTACTTCATGAAGTATCTATTTGCTGTCAGCAAAACACAATTCTAAACCGATAGTTCCTTGTTTTCTTTCTAAGCCAAAACATCTGTCTTTTGTTTTGAAGTTTGGGAATATTTTTTTTTAATTTTTCTTTCTTACTATTTTTTATAGTCCTCAGGACAGCCACCCCAACACCACAGCATCATTAACCTGCTGCAGCTTCGATTCTGTTGGCTCTCCAATGGCTCCCACAGCTGCTGACAGTCCACTGTCTGACCTGCAGAGAGATCAGTAGGGTCAGAAATCACAGACTGTGGCATATGAGGAGATTCCAGGGAGCCATTGGGTGGGCCATCGAGACGAGAAGGAATCTGAAGACCAAGAGCTTTGTTTTGGCAAGGACTCAGGAGGGAGCAACGCTTCTTGTCATCCCTGTTGCTCAAGCAACCTCCCTGCCAATGACCCCAAAGCATAAAAGGAAACCACAGGTAGCTACACAATTTGAAAATTCTCTTAATAAAAAATTCTCTTAATAAAAATTACAAGAGCACCTGCTGGGTACCCAGTGTTATGCAGGCTGCTTATTACTATCTTCTGTCATTCTTTTCCTAATTGTTTTTGGATGAACCTGAAGATAAGGGAAGTAAAGCGATTCATCTCCCTTATGTTGCTTTGCCAGCAAGATTTGTTAACCAAAGGTTAACTGGAGAAAGTAAGACGGGACATTAAAAAATAAAAAAGAAAGGAGAGAAAAAAATTCCAGGATTAAATGCTGGGACATTGGTCCTGCAATCATTTACAATTGATATCCACCTTGGCCCCAGGTGCTTATTGGCAATGCAAACATCCTGTGACTTAGGTGAGGTATTACGGTCAGCTCTAGCTAAACTTCAGCTAATCTGGGCCTAAAATTGTATCTACCTTCTCCAATGTTGCACTAGTTTATATCAATTGCTTTCTTTTTTCACCTTCTTGGGGAAGAAAAAAATTTCATATTTGAGAGCTGTTGGCTTTTATCCAGAGGTTATGTCCCAAATGGATTAGAATCTGTTGGCCACCCAGGAAAGCAAGGTGAAATCCATATTTTTAGCTCACCCAGACCATCTGCTCACTTTGTAATAACATTGTCCTCTGAGTCTGCCATCAGGGAACACTTAAGAAAATGCTGCTTCAGTATCTAAGGCCTTTGGTAAGATTTTTAAGATGGATTCTTAAAATAATTAACCTGATGGCTCATAAAATTATGGTGGGTTTCCAATGGAGTTCCACTTCTCTCCACAAAATGTAAGTAAGGAGGAAGTACAAAAAGAAACAGTCTTTTATACCTCCTAGATTCCAACAAAGGCAATGAGTAAGCCAAATACCAGAACAGCATTCATGCCTAATTCATTGATTCCTCCATGGGCAGTATGGACTCTGTGCCAAGCATCAGGTTTTCTGGGGGGAAAAATGTTTCAGGAGATACAACCAAGATAAGCTTAAACCTTCAGGAAAAGTTTAAAAAACATATAAGCAGTCCTGATTAGCTGTCTCAGGGGATTCGATTTCCTGACTAGATTCTTCACTCTTGTTGGAGAAGGATTGTAGAGAACAGAAAGTGGGCAAAAACACTATTGGATTAATCAGTGATAAACCCTCCTATACACTGACAACCTCACAAAACTTTGAATAACCTTACTTTTATCAGGATGTTAAGGGTGTATGTCTTGTCCACAGACATTGAAGAAATGCTGCGTTGGGAGAGGCTGTAAAGGAAGGAGTAGTCATATATATGTATTTTCATAAAAATAAATAAATACAATTCCTGCCTTCGAAGAACATGTGATCTGGTCAGACTGGTAAGATGATGGAAAAATAACACTGATGTAGGAATACCTGGGTGAGGACCCAAGTTGGACAAAGTCAAAGAAATTGAGAATAGTGTGATAAATTCTGGCATGGCCACTTGACACTGCTAGCTTTATAACATAAGCACCATCTCAGCACTTTTTTATTGCTCCATCTGGCAAAGTAGAGGGGGGAGAGAGTGAATAATAAGATGTCTGTTTTGCGTCTAACGTGATAGAACTTGAAGGTGTATGGCTGTAAAAATAATAGGGCATAGCACTATGACCTTGGGATACTGGTTGAATTGACTATCATATCTCATGTAAACATTTACAAATATAAAAACTTAACCCAAGTTAAACAGGAAAAACCGAAAAGGAATATTTGCAGCATATGCTGTAGGTCTTCATTTGCTTGGTTTTTAATTTGTTTGTTTGCCTT